CCCAAAAGGGAAAAAAAAATAAAAAACCTTCTTGCATGTTTAATTGGGGTGAGCTTGCATATGGTGTGGAAGCCGTTTGACCATATCGAATCAATCTGAAACTTTTTCCAAGTTGCATTTCTAAAATATGTTAAAAATCAACTTTGTAGATGGAAAACGGATGCAGGAGTCGAGTATGATGTTATCAGGAAGGATATACCATAATATGATTACTTATTTGTGTACCAAAAAATGTTTTTGTATATACAGTTGACCTCTTTTAATCAGTAATGTTTAGATACAAAGGAATTTAGATTTGTAAAATTTTATAGTATTTTTATCTATCAAAAAATCATTTACATCCTCGAGGCTAGAAATGGTTTTGTGAAGTGTAGTAATCACTTTTACATGATATTACAGATCAATGTCTTCTTAAAATATTTTTGCTTTAATCTGCAAAAATTTTGGCTTCAAAGTTTGGTAATAAAGACGGAAATTTGTTGATCGGTTCCTTTTTGATAGAGGTGTTGCTTCCATTGGAACCAGACATCTGTTCTATCTTGGAATCAATTTGCTCAAAATTTTCGGCTGTACATCGACCTGTCGCTGCCTTCCTCATAGAAGCCGCCAGGTTGACCCCGAAGGCCGAATGTATTAGAGGGAGCAAATTTTTGTTAAGGAGACAAAGTGAAGTTTGTTGGGTTTGAATTTCGTTAAGGTTAATTTAATTTGCAATTGCAATATACTTCTTGGTATTCTAGGATCCACACATAACACTAGAGATTATTAATGCCATTAATTTCGTACTGAGTCTTGCATGAGTCCTGAATATTGTGATTCTTCTGCCACTAAATATAAGTGAGCATCCATATTTTTATTCCTCTATGCTATGTGTTACTCTAAATGTTCTGTAAACTGTCTAACTAGTTGGTGCACATAATTGTGACCTATATGATACGTAATTAGACATACAATCTGATGAATACGATTTTGATGAAAGTGGAGTATGAGCTTGTTACCTTTTCTCCAATTGCGTCCTGTATGATAGACATGTGGGTGCTAATTCCACCGATTATTTTCCCGCTCGTTAAATCTGTATCAAATGCCCCAATCTCCTGGCTGAGGACAGATTTTAGAAATTCTAATCTTAAACGTGATACTTGTCTTTCACTTGCATACATCCAGCATCCTATCTCTGCATTTGAAGTAGGTGATGTATTTAGAACAGAAATCTCGCTGCATCATCTATATTCCTACGATGCCATATTTATAGTGAGTACTTTTTTTTGATTGTTGGATCCATCGAGTTTGGAATAGTTATTGCAATTAGCTAACTGTCTTTAGTTGAAAGTTTGACACTATCATTTTTAGTATGGACGACTAAATAGTACTTGACAATATTAAGAAAGAGATTAAAAGGAAATGTAAGATCTTATTTATTCTAGTGTTACCTAGTATTCCAGCAGGAAATGTGGCAATAGCCATATACCACACATAGGGCACAACCTGATTATGCAAAAAGATTAAACATTTTAGTTACTGTTTGATGATACGTATAATATGAATAATTGCACATGAACTCTTTTATGTTCAGTTTCATATAATATACCTTGTTAAGAGCTTCAACCATGTCTTCAGTATTGTTGGTGTTGTTACCATAAGCATTAAGGGCTTTACCAAGCAGCATATACCCAACAGGTTGGGCAATGCCGTGGACGATGGAACCCAAGGTACCAAGAGCCATCAGTGTCCAATCTATCGCATCGGCCTGACTCAAAAGTTTATGAAATGGTAAAGCTTGAGTGGTAACAGGCTTCTTTCCCTTGCCTGTTTCATCCGTATAATCATCTACAATCAGCATTTTCTTTTTTGAAAGTCGGTATTGAAAAGTTCTTTAACAATGTGATTATGTCTCATTTTTGAAGTTTCATTTATTACAATGCTAATGAGGAATATTTGCTGGATATGCCTTGGTATTCAAATATAAAACTGATTAGCTTGAAAGTAGCGTTCGTTTCTCTTTGGTTTAATCCAAGTATGATGTTACTGGTTTGCAATAGGACATGAAGTTGAAAACACAGACCAGTTGGGCATATTAAATTTGTGTTGATCAACTTTCAAAGATTTGGTCTTGTCTCATTATTACAACATAAGTTTGTGTTTACAATTCTTCTTGATGAATTCTATATCCTTAAACCAAACAGTCTTAAACTTCCCGAATGATTCCTCTTTGAGATTCGGGTGTTACGGCAATAAAATGAACATATCATCAGGTTCTATGGGACTTTGTCTAGATGCAAAAATTTGTAGATTTTGGATTCTTAGCATTCGGCATTCCCAACGAGAATGGTATATACTGGAATTTGGTGCCACATCCACAGTAGTTAGCTTTTTTGTTTTGTCTGGATATAATCTGAACATCAGAATGAAGATTTATAATTCTTAGTTCGTGTAACTACTAGAGGCGAGAACCAACTTTCACGTCCAAATTTTCTTTTGCTCGACACAAATAAAAAAACACCCACTTTCATATTCTTTCAGTTAGATTATTACGGTTTATTCGAATATTAAATTGTACAAATTATTAAACTTTGTGAATTTACAAATTAAAGGCAATAAAAAAAATACATTGACATCTTGGACTAGTCGTATACTTGTTGCTTTTGTACTATTCTTTATTTTTCTTTTTACTTGTGTGCATGTGTATTTTTTTCATTGTGAATCCATTAGCTATTGGACGACTAAGAAGATAGCTTACGGGTTCTTTATTTAAGTATTTTAGATTAATTAATCACATTGAATATTTTTCCCCGTTGTTTTTAATAAGATTCAAAATTCGAATGCTCTTAAACTCGATAAACCTAAAATGAAACTCGTAGCAGACATGACGATATGGGATCTCTTGTCACCTGTCATGGGGTTTTCGTTACTATAATTTATTTTAATAAACATGAAATAATTGATGAGCTTCCCAGTCAATATTTCCTGTATCATTTAATATTTAAGGATAGGTGGCCGTTGAAGGGTGAAGGAAAAATTTATTGCTAGGACAGAACTATTAGGTGTAGTGGTTAATTATTGAGAGCATCTCCGATTGTTGCGTAAAATAGATCTAAATTGTGATTTAAATTTTCGAAGTGATCGAAAACATCTCACATGGAGAGAGGCAAAAAAAAATGAAAAATTACAATTTCCAACAGAAAATGTAAAAAATACGTAAATTTACATTTTTTTTTTTTACATCTACAAGAGGCAAAAAGTGAATTTAAATCTTCTCATTAGAGCAAAATTTAAATTTAGATTCACGGGATGTAAATGAGGATACAAAAGTAATTTTGAAAGTAACAATTTATAAGGAATTTTACACCACCATTAAATATGCTCTAACAATAGAATTTTACACTTCAAAAAAAGTAAACTTTTTTTTTTTTTAAATTGAATTGTTCTTATTTACTATTAGTTTCTATTTGAGTTCCTTTATAAAAAAATTCATTTTCTTTCAAACTCATTTTCAATCATATATTCTTCTAATAAAATAATTTTACATGTAAAATTATTATTTTTTTCAATTTTTTAACCACATATTCTTCAAAAAAAATCAGTAATATAAAATCTATTCTACCAAAAAATGGAACTCAAATAACCCACAGGTAAAGTAAAGTCTCCTTAAATTAGAGTGGGTGGGTTTCTCAACTTTCAAAATTAAGGTTTGAGACGTATTCAAAATGTATTTAAATTATAAAAAATTATCAAATTGAAAGTTAAAATTGCATGCAACTTTTAAGATGAATTTGATATAAATGTTAAGTAGTTTGATGATTTTGTCTTTTAATCGTGAAAGTTGAGTGTGAGGCTTTGGTCACACGGGGACACAAATTCACAGATTTAAAAAGATTGAGATCCAAAACATCACATTTGAATATTTTGGATGCATTATCACACTACGCAAAGGATTGACGAGCCAACGTTAAAAATGAGTAAGAATGACAAAATGAAGGACCATGCTATATGTACACAATGGTACACACACGGCCTTACACCCTCCTCACATGGAGGGGGGGACCTACGCACAATAAAATATTTGTGGGCCCCCTCCATGTGAGGGGGGTGTAAAGCCGTGTGTACACCACGATGTGGACACATAGCATTATTCCAAAATGAATGCCTGATCAGAATTGACCTGCCTTTCATCCATGTTGGATTTAGGCTCATTACGAACTTGACTAGCCCGTTTCAAAATATGGTCCAAACCTAATTGGTTTGACTTCACTTTTCGTTCGATTATAAGCTTAAATTAATAATTTTGAAATAGTCAACGTTGGAGTTGGTCCCCCCACTGTTTGCATAATATATTGTCCCCGCAACGTTGGTCCCCCCATTGTTTGCATCATATATTGTCCCCACAACGTTCATTGAAAAATAGACGGTGTAGATTGAAGGAACTGGAGAAACAGTCCAATCTACTTGAGAAAAACGTGTTGATGGTATAATTAAAAATTTTGAACAATAATAATTTTAAAATATTTTTGGTCAACGGATCTTATTAAGTGCATGTTTGATTCCCCTTTTTTTTTTTTTTTTTAAATAATTCATTTTTGAATAGTATTTTGATGGAGAATGTATGGTTAAAAAATAAGAAATTTTTTTAATTTACGTGTAATATTATTTTATTGAAAAATATGTGATTGTCTGATTGAAAATAAGAGAAAAAAATGTATTTTGAAAATAATGTGTACCAAACAAGGCCTAAAATAATAGATATGAATGTTGATTCTACCTAACTTTTAATTGTGTTCACTGGGCCCACATAGCTTTTTGAAGTACAATATATAATAGGTATTTTTTTTTTCTATTCGTTATTATTATTTTTTGTAATAACCATTAAATGTATTGTACTCAAACAGAAACAGAAACAGTAAAATGAAAATGAAAATGAAAATATAAAATTCATTTTGTTCTCTTGATTGATATGACATAAAAATAGTATAAGAGGTTCCAAATATTAATCTAAATATACGGTAAAAAACGAGAGGAGTAACTTTTTAAATAAATCGTGAAAATCTTTTGAAGGTATTATTTCAATAACTATATGTTATTTTTACAAAATATACTTCCCATCAAAAGTGTTATAAATCACGTGCAAATTGTCCTTGTAATAATAAGCAGTAATAGCAAATTATGTTGCATCTATTCTAGGTCCGTCCACTGATAATGATGCTCAAGATTCTCGTTTCCGCACACTATTAAACGCTCTTTTACAAGTAGAAAAAACCATACTACTCGTTCAGATAAGGCCCATCTGGTTCAACTACTTGGGTGTGTGTGTGTGAAGGCTAGAAATGGAAGGAGAAGAGCAGAAATGGGAGCAAGAAGAGGTTGAAGAAGAAGAAGAAGAAGAAGAAGAGGAGTCTACACTGCTAGCGAGGAAATCAAGAACTGAAACTGAAGTGAGCATTATTGTGAGTTCTGAGAATAATAGGCATGAAAATGGAGCTGACAGTGGTAAGTCAACTGCTGAAGATGAGCAAAAACTGGAGGATTTTGATGGGATTCTTGAAGAGGAAAATGAGAAGGAAAAATCAGACAATTGTGTTTACTATGATAAAGTTGAAGGTACAAAATCTTGGTTTATGTTTTCTTACATTCTGGGACTCTTTTATTGGTTTCTCAATCTTTGTTTAATTAATACAGTGACGTGGAGAAAGTCAAGGATTACGGAAATAATACTAAAAACTACAACCTTAAACCCACTCCATAGATATTTTTAACCCTACCTGTGAAAAATAAAAGTGTAAAGGGGGACCTTTTGTTTTGTTCTTCCCAATAATTCATTTTATCATTGTATATCTACCATTATCTTTATGTTGTGTATCATTGGTTAATAATTGTGAAAGATTTTACCAGAAGCACCAACAAAGTTAAATTGTTGTGCAATTAGTGAAAGAAGGCCACAATTCACACAGTAAAGTATATGGGCTGAGGTAATTGATGTCAGTTTATACTAAAAATTTAGAGAGTAGATCTGGGAGGTGGAACTGTATAATTTGCATTGCCCTGAACACTATAACCCTGTAGTCTGTAGAAAAGCCCATCGGACCGGAGTTTTAAGCTCGGCCCTCTGTAACAGTGTTTCCCATACAGCTAAATTCTGTATTGACTAATGCAACATGTGGCCATTTTTTTTAAGAAATACAAGCAGCATTTCAGAAATTTTTAATCTATTCAAGCCAATTGCGGACAAATTAAGAGAAGGACGACTGAGAGAGTTTTGGACATGTTTTGCATAGATCTACCTAAAGAGATTTTCATCGAGCGACACAATCTCGGTAGAATAAGGTCGACGATAACTAACATGGTTTAATAAGAATCTAGATGCTCTAGATCTTCTAAGTAGACCTAAAGGATTCGCGTGGCTGATCCAAAAATTATCAGGAAACTAGACTTAGTTTGTTGTTGTTGCTAATCTAAGTTGTTTCAATATCTGAGATTTTTTTGCTGCTGTTATTATAGTTTTCGTTGAATTTGGCTTGTGGAACATTCTTCTTGACATGTCTCTTATTACTCTGTATCTAGCATATCTCCAAATAAAGAAAAGAACAAAAAGAGAGAGAGAAAGAAAACATTCCTTCTGCTGGTACTCTCCCAGCTTTGATTAGCTTATAATTAAAGATTAGTACTGACTATTCGACCTTTTAGACAGTTACTTTCATTAGTTACAAATGAATTAGGCACTACATGCAATTGTGTTCATTGCTGTCACTTCTCTCTTCTGTAACTGAAGGAATATGGAAGTGTCGAATCTGCTATTGGACCTACCAAAGTGGAACTTTATGTGTTGACCGTATTCAGAACAATAGTGGG